AGAAATACCACATTATATTGATCTGTGGGGGGGAACAATATCCCATTATATGGGGGGGGGGGATACCCCATTTTATTGGTTACCGGTAGGGGGAAGAGATTGCCCCATTATACTGGTGATCAGTTGGGGGGTAGAATATGCCATAATGTTGGTGATTCGGGAGGGAGGGGGGCTAGTAAACATATATGTATTTAAACAGCTGTTTGCCTGGAGTAACACTTTTATCCGTACAAACCTCCCCACACGTTTCTACACTTAATCCTGATGAAAGAAAGCCCACAAAACAGGAGGAGGACTGCTCTGCCACTCACCTATCATTGTGCTTGTGTAGAGCACTGACACACTGTTCCAAGTGTCTGCAAAAATTAGCAAGCTTTGCCAATGATGATCCGCCTTCAATGCCCTTAAACCAGCTTTGTGGAAGACACTCCACGATCTGCAGAGAGAATAAATGAACACATTAATATTACATTGGAAATTAATAAATGATCCTCAATGAAGAGATGAATATTTTACTGGTTGGGGGATCCACCTCTGCTCTCTCTTAGGATGACCAACCTGTTCACCAGCTTAGTCACAAAATCTTTTTACAAGGTAAGGTGAATGGGTAAATGCAGCTCGCTTTCAGGTGCATTGTACTTGCATGCGAGATCGGTTTGAGACAATTCTGAGATTATTCAGGAGTTCACCTGCACTGGACCTTCTTCTAAGCTGCCTCAACCTGTAGCTTTTCCATTCCTTTTGACTTGTATGGGGAGAGAGGCAGCTCTGATGCGCACAGATACCCGGTTGACACAGGCCCTTAGGGCTCATTTTGATGGGTTTTAAGGGAGGGGGAGAGGGAGGGGGGAAAAAAAAAGGAGGGGGATGGAGGGAGGGGGAGAGAGTCTGTATTGCATGCAATGCTTTTCCTTCAACATGTTTCTGTGGGTTGCAATTTGCCAAAATGCAGCCTGAAGCTTTTTTCCCCCTGGTGTTCCATCAGATTTCATTATCTTTACATGACCATCCTGCAAAGTGGAAGTAAACCAGAAGCAAAACACATGCAAACTGGAAACAATATGCATGAAAACCTGAAGCAAAAAAGTAGAGCCATGTTTTTTTAATTGCAGTGGAACCGTGGAGTTTGGCCCTTACAGTTAACATTCCCTCAGGAAAGCTTAATGCAAAATTATCTTTTTTCCTAGATGGCATTTAAAAAGAACCAATCACATACTGCCTTAACAAAAAAATATTCTTACTGGAAAACTATATTCCCAGAGAATGTTTGTACAAGTTATTCTGAATTGAGAAAGCTGGTTGGATGACCAGTGAAACATGTTCAAGAAAAATACAGCAAGTCCAGTTGCCTTGACTTATTTTTTCACAGATATACCATGTGACCTGGATGAATGAGAACCTTCACAGATATATAAAAAGGGACACGTAGTCTGCAATTGTTGACTTCCTCCTGAAAATGCTAGTTGCCTGGCTGGCTCCAATACTTTGAGTCGCTGACCTACAACAAGGATTCAGCAAGTGCAGTGAGAACATGGCACTCTGGGTCAGCATAAAACCAGGCAAACAGCATTTTTAGGAGAGGTTGGCAATGGCGGCTTATAAATATCTTTCAGTACTGGTTTCTGTTACGTTTTTACATGTGTGCGGAAATATTTAGAACAGAATATAGATTTGCCCGAGGTTGAATCTGGAAACAAGAGTCAGAGCTAAGAGGACATCGGAGACCCCACAGTTACTGTCTGCTTATATGCCTTACACCTCAAGCTGGCCACAAATACATACTCAGGACTGGGAGACAGCGTAACACGATCGCTGTCCACATTTCAAGAGGTCGTTCTTTTTGAGGGGCACTCATGCACTGTGCAGTATGCGGTAGGTCTGTTCGAAGGTACTGTGGACCTTACCGAGATCCGTGGCATGTCAGCACATGCACAGAATCATGGAGACGTACACGCTGCAGGTCTCCGCTAGGTCTGAAATAATTGAAGACCTGCATGCTGCACATGTGCAGAATCTTGAGGGGCACACATACCAGGAACTCACAACAAAGATGACGCACAGGAGCAGCGTAGCGAAAGGTAATCTTTGGCTGCAGGGTAGGCAGTGCTGGACTCATATGAATGTGGACTATTATGTATGCTTTTTTGTCCCTCATACAAGAGAAATAATTAGGGGGAATTTAGTTTTAGCAAGGGAGGGTGAAGTTCCTCTTCAAGACTGCACAAACCCAGGCATGACTGGTTCCCTTTAATGTTTACAAGTGACATTTTAGAGACGGTACACTGGTCCCTGGATTATAAATCAGGCACCTCCAGTAGGTTGCACGTAACCTCAGTTTTTTTGCACAGTGTCCCAGGAGACTAACTCTGTTAGGCCAAGTCTATGGAAAGTCTTCCTGCTTGTGCTCGGGGGCCCACCCCTGCAGCTGCCTAACCAGCCACTAAGTGAGACCGGCAACCTCAATGGTCAAAGGGAGGTGTAAAGGAGGATTAAGGCATGCCTGTCCAATCTCTGATTGCAATTAGTTCAACAGAACTGCGCTGGTCAGTGTACAAACTAAAAAAAAAGGTACCAGCTATGCATACCTAAATGTAAATTATATACAAAATGAATGTTAGTACTTTTCATGTAAAACGTCTTAAAAGGATGGCGGTGAGGGTGAGCTACTTACCTTGCTGCACATGGTGACCATAGCGCTGTTTGGCTCAGCATTAAGCAGTACTAGCAGGAGGTACCGGTTCAGTAGCTTGTCAAGAGATAGTTCCTGAAGAGTTCCTTCCCCAAGAAATCCATCCCAGCGTGTCACATTGCCCAGCAACTGAGGAAGCAAGCAAGAAGAGTCATTATGTGGCAATAGAGACTACTCAGCAAATGCAGTATTACCCGAGGACTCCAGCGGCAAGACGTCTATCTTATATCGTACCACTAAGCCCAGACCCCCCACACATTCCTACTGGCCCATCACTATGATGAGCATCCGCACAGGTCAAGAGCAATGTGCAGTAGGCAGGAAGGGGCTGGCAAGCTTCAGGAAGTGATAAAGCTATACCAGTCCAAATGGCTGTAGATATACTGTAGCCGTGACACAAATGGTTTAAAAGGATGCTGCACCTCTAGGTGTCTGCACTTTATACCTGCATCAGCTTGCCCCCTTCATTCCTGTTACATCTTTGAAAGGAAATTATAATGGTTGGTGGTAAATTGGTAAACCTGGTCTAGAAGTTGTTTTATACAAGTTTGCTTACTATGTGCACAATTGCGGTTTTACAAATAAATAATTATTATATTGTTGTTAAGGGTTACCTAAAGAGATAGCTCAGGACAGGCCGCTTGCTTTACAGCTACTTTTGTCTAATTAAAAATTTGGATGAGGTTTGGGTTCATGTTCATGCAACAGGTTGGCCACTAGAAATAAGCAATAACCTAATTGGCCTTCCTCATTGGTCTACCACTACACAGGCTATCCCCCCTTCAGTCTATCATGAATGCTGCCGCTAGACTCATCCAATAGTATCACCCTCACCGTCCCCTCTGCGCTTCCAAAGACCCCCTGCTTTCCAGCACCCTCGTCAACTCCTCCCATGCTCGCCTCCAGGACTTCTCTAGTCTCTCCCATCTTATGGAACTCTTTACCCCAACCTGTCAAACTATCTCCCACTCTGACTGCCTTTAGGCGATCCCTTAAGACTAATCTCTTCAGGGAAGCCTATCCCACCTCAACCATCATGTTGTCAAACAATTCATCCCCACACAGCTACCTCCTCATGTATCACTTGCCCCTCCCTTTTAGATTGTAAGCTCTCATGGCCAGGGCCCTCCTTACCATCTTGTCTTGAATTGTATTGTAATGTCTTCCTTATATTGTGTTTTACACAATAAAGGCTGTGCAAACTGTTGGCACTATATAAATCCTGTATAATAATAATAATAATTTGCGGTGCTGTATTTTCAGTATGTGTTGGAGCCATAAGGGAGAGCCGATTCTGTATAGGAAGAGATACTGGTTTGTTTTGGTTTTTTTAGTTTGGCACTGGTACATGTCCCCCATAGCAGTCCCCATTTCCCCATGTCTGCAGTTTGACAATAGAGTGCTTGTTAACCCTACATATGGCCAGAATTGAAACAAGATTTGCACCTCCCCATAGACTTCAATGGGTCTGTTGCAAAACTTTGTGTGTACAAAAGTCAGACAGATCGGCTTATCTCTATCTGAAACCTCATAATGAGCTGTCTGATAAGGGATAAAGAAAATCACATCAAATCAGATGTTACGATTTATTATACAAGTATTTATATATTTGCCAACATTATGCGCATCTCTTTACAATATAAGGAAGATGTTACAATACAATTCAAGACATAACGATCAGGAGGGCCATACCCGTGAGAGCTTACAATCTAAAAGGGAGGGACTAGGGACACAAAGTGATAGCTGTGTGGGGATGCGTTGCTGGGAAAAGTAATCGTTCAGTGGTTAGGTACGAGGTAGGATAGGCAAGAGATGAGTTTTCAAGGATTGCCTTAAGGCAGAGTAGGAGATAGCAGGACAGGCTGGGGTAGGATGCCAGAGGATGAGAGAGACTCTGGAGAAGTCTTGGAGGCGAACATACTGTATGTAGTTGACGAGGGATCCTAAGTGCACTCAGCAGGTGCAGAATCCAACTTCAAAAAACATTGAATTTTAGAGTGTTTTAAATTCTGGCAATGGCATACCAACCAACTAACAGCCATGCCTCGGGGTTACTCTCACATACAGGATATAAATCCGACTGACTGCCAGAGGCAAGATAAGACCATAGGAGGTAACTTACTTTCACAGCTAACCAGAACTGTCTCTCTCGAAACTTTGAATGTGGAGAGTTTCTGTCTTCTAATACTCTGTAAAACACACACACAAAAAATGGCTGCATCTCAAATCCTTGTCTTGCACTAAGTCGTCCCCCCCCCCGCCACTGTACTTCCTCTGTGACCTTTTTTGG